GTCCTCAAGGTGCCCTACGTCGACCGGCCGACCTGCCTCAAGACCGCCTCCACCACCATCCTGGACAACATGTTCTGCGCCGGCTTCCCGGCCGGAGGCAGCGACACCTGCGGGGGGGACAGTGGAGGTCCCTACACCACCGAGATCGAGGGCACCTGGTTTCTCACAGGGATCACCAGCTGGGGCGAGGAATGTGCCAAGCCGGGTAAATATGGCATCTACACCAGGGTCTCCAAGTACCTGAAATGGATAAAGGTGATGACGAGGCTTACCTGACCCGCTGTGGCTGGTGAGCTAAGAGAGACCCCAGCTCTCCAGGTGTTTTCCAGGAATTGCTGTGTTTTAATAAACGTTTCTAAATGAACTAATTTCTGCTCTTGGAAGGCAAAAGTTGAGAGAACGTAGTGGAAATGTGGTAATAAAGAAATAAAAAGCCCTTTAATTACGCCCTGAACGCACTGCCACTGCTGAGATGGTTTAAGTCCCCCAGTTCTGAATGCAGAAGCTGGTGTGGATGAGCTGGGGCACAGCTCGCACATGCCCTGGGCCAGTGTGCCACCAGCATTGCCCGTGGCAGGCACGCAGCACCACCAGCAAGGGGAGCACTGGTGCCTCAGGCACTGGCATCCAGCATCACCTCTGTCACAGGAGCCCACCAGGGAGAACACACCAGCAGCACTCCTGGCCAGACATTTTCACTGGAGCCATGCTGAGATGGATAAGGGGCAGCAGGAAATGCTCCTCCGGCTTTAGGATGGCATAAAATTGGCTGTAGAAGTGACCTAAAATGGATATAAAGCTCATCCAAAGGTAGTGGCAGTCTCTGTGCTAATGATTTCTTCAGAGCCTTGTTTATAGAGACCTGCTTAGTGCTCATCACCTGTCCTGGTCGATCCATGCCAGAGACTGTGGCCATGGCTACTGCTGGTGGTGATGGAGACAAAGCATTGCCCTCCCCAGATGAGCCTGTGGGATGTCCCCTGACCACAGACAGCACGGGACACCCGTGTCTGGTCTGAGCAGGTGGCAGAAACCTTGCTGGGAGGTGCCTCCCTGTCCTGTGAGGTCCTGTGCCAGGCTGCTCCACATGGGCTTCATTCAGTTCCCAGCTTCAGGGGAGGGGAATAATCCCAGAGGAAGGGACACGGACCTCTGATCAGTGCTGGTTCATCTTGCATGCCCTCCCACGGAGAGCCCAGGGGTGCACAGGGCAGCAGTGTGGCCCTGGGGACCTGCACCCCGTGGTGCCTGGTGTGGGCAGCTCCTGCACAGGCTTGGCCACGCTGCAGGCACCACGCACAGCACCACGGCCCACCCCCAGAGGCAGAACCCCACTGAAAGAGGTCTTCTCCATGCGTCCCCAAGACCACTTCTCCTCCCACCCCACCTGCAGAATGCTGTTGATGCCCACACAGCCCCCCTGCACCCACCCATGAGCATGGCCCCATGGTCCCAGCCCAGAGGCCCCTCCTGGCAGCACTGCCCGGTGGTGGGATGCAGGGGAGGCTGGTGATGGAGACACCCTGAGCCAGGGCACGATCTCAAGAGCTGCTACTTCAGATGTCAGTATGAGCTCTAAGGTGTCACTCCCAACTTCACTGCCACTACACCCAAGCAAGAAGCTGATTGGATCATCTGCCACGGCTTATTTTAAAATCAAAATGCATGTGAGAAGGTTGTATTTGTTCCAAAGACATTAAATAAAACCAACACTGAGAATCCTTTTGTTTTCTCTAGAATTATAGCAGAGGTGTCTTTGGACAGAACTGCATATTCTCATACGAATTTATTTAACAAGTTTTTAATCTTTAAATATAGATTTAACACATTTTTTTACAGGTACATATACAATATAGTTCATTTAAACTTGCAGTCAGAGAAAATTCTCTACTGTAATTTATACATATACATGAAGAGCCTAGTTCAACAGCATACTTAAGGTAACATACCATGTCGTGTGCAAAGTTTCAAATGTTAAAAATCTCAGACTGTACATTCAGATTCGCAGAACTTAGCAACCTCATAAATTAATAAAAGCTTAGATTTAAAACTATGGAAGACAAAAAAGATTAAAACCATTTAATATGCAATGTGTGCTATGTTTGAGACAAATATTTACAGTTGTACCTCAAAACGTGTAGTTACCACAAGAATTGTTACCACTATAAACAGCCCCGACAGCAACTTAAGAGACTCCTACTTTTCCACCTAGCAAGTGCATTGTGACCAGTTTTAAATGAAATAGAAATAACCTTCAGTGACTGAAGATGCTGGTGGGTGAAATGCCCACCAGTGTGGTGGGGGACCCCCCAGGCAACCACAGCCATCACACAGGTCAGCAATTCCTCCCTACAAAAACGGTCACAGAGATAAAAAAGAATAACCAACATGTTTTAAGTCAACAGCTTGGTGCTGTGTCTAAGAATCCATGGTTCACAAATCAAAGTCAGATCATAAAGGTCCCTCTTTAGTCCAGAGTATAAAATGTTCCAGGTTGACGGGACAGAGCAAATCCACTACTGCATGCAAGCTACTGACCTTGCTCTCAACAGTCATCTGCTTAAAAGCCAAACCACCTGTACCTATCTTCTACAAAAGCCAAACTAGACAAAGAAACACAAAATTAAATTATGAGCGTTCAAGAACCTTTTTTCTTTCTCAAAAATTCGATAGGTACATTATTATTAAAGATGCTGAAAAGTACAGTCTTACCACAAGAACATCCTTAGTGCAAACATGGACATTTAACTCAGATTTATGGCACGTGTTCCAAAAGTACATACATTTAATGTAAACTTCAACACTTGCTAGATACAGGTTTCAGCCTTGGGACACTTTGGGACCCTAAGTGATTGGTGACAACCCTGAGTTGTCAGTTTGACCTGGCCCAAACCTCACTGAAACCAAGGGGACTGGCTGCAGTGGGCTGGAGTCAGACCCTAAGTGCAAAAAGAGGCTCTTTAGGGTTATTGCATCTTCACGTGTGAGTCAGCCAGATGATGCTCTTACAGAACATTACATTCACAAAGCTGAAGTAGGTATTTAAGAAAAAATCCATTCATAAAATCAATTAAGCAGGACATACAGCTTCTTTGTTTGGTTTGGTTTTGCTTTTTGGTTGTTGTTTTTTTTTTTTTTGGTTTACCAAAACTCAACTCTTTTATTTGCAACTTCAATAGTTGTCAGCTAGTAAGTAGGTAAAGCCTTCAACCTGTAGAGGAAATTTCAAGCATCTAAACAAAGTGTCAGGAAACTGTAGTGTACTTCTCTGATGAAACGGGATGGATGTCATGGAAAAACAGCAGGTAAAAATAATAAATTACTGTACTTTCCATAGGAGAAAAACAAAAAAATAAAGAAAGAGCAGAGAATGACTTCCTTTATGAGCATGAGAAGCTGCTTAGGACCCCGGTCCCGTTCAGTGCAGATGAAGCTGTGGAGGTCTGTGAATGTGATGAATAGTACAGGACAACTCCAACTATTGTGCTATTTCTCTGTAACACTGAGTTGAAAGCTTCCAAAGAGCATCGAAAATAGGATGCTACTAGTTCACCCTTAATTCAAGGGGAACTAAACTTTCTCGTGTTACACAGGGCAGCATCTATAAAGTAATGAAGAACGATGTTAATATTAAAGCATCTTATTCCAAGAAATACATTGTTCCCTGTAATCATGTAACATTTGTATAACATAACAAAAATAAGTGCTCTCCTGCAGTTCTCCCTAAAAGCTGAACTCCCTCTAGCTTCACTGAGAGCCTTGTCTAAGGCAGGACTGCAGGGTTTGACTCCTTTCCATCATCTATCACTTGATTGTCACAGTGTGGCCAGCTCATATCTTCTCTAGGCTCCTTATTTTGTCAGGCTCAAAATGGTTTTCTACAGCAGTACAAACCAGCTGCTCTGTGAAGCCAGCTGGCACAGCAGGTTGCACAAGGAGACCCTGCTTTACCTTTCAAAGGCCAAGAAGAAATCAGCATTACCTTTAATGGACCCTGCATAAATACAAAAGCCTTGGGCTGCAGTCCTTAAAGAGCACGAGCAGCAGTGCAAGGAGCTGGGCTGCACCTGCAGCACTACCAGTGGCATCTGAAACAGAACTCTGACAGATCTTGCACAGTTCTGCTGCCATGCTCACACCACCCTGCAAGAGCTCTGTCACCTGCCAGGCAGATCCAAAGCACGTGGCTTCAGGAGCCATGGAAAAGGTTGCCTCAAGTCCACCACAGTCAAAAGGAACCCCATTGCCCTGGCCAGCAGGAGCAGAGAACACACAAGCTCGGTCCTTTGGGCAATACCTTTACTGCATGAAGAGCACACACAGGGCATCCCCTAAGGGCTTGGGGGAGAGAATTTGGCAAGTGGGGTGTTAAAACAAACTAGGTGAGGGGCTGGCATGTAGAACAGGAGCCTGTGCCCTCCTTAACCCAGGCAGGGGTGTGTGCCTGCCCTGGCACAGGGCATCCTTCCACGCCTGCTCTGGATGCTCCTCGCCTTTGGGCTCAAGCCAAATTCTGCCATATAACTTTTCAGTTGTTTAAAAGAACTTCAAAGTTGTAGCAGCGTTTCTATTGTACAGATATAATAAAGGCATTTATCACTGCTTCCTTTTTTCATTTAAATCCCTTTTTTTTTAATTTAGCCTACTCTGTTTTATGCTCCCTCTAAAATACATCAGTCTCATGCAGCCTTCACACAGTGAGTGTGGATTGGACACTCGCCCATCTCTCTCCCCAGTTTTTAATGGTTAGGGGAAAAAAGCTGAAAATGCTTTGGCCCCACTTTGCTCTGATGTGAAAATTCAGGCAAGGAATGTCTCCTTTTGCTTGCATCTGTTTACCACTGCTGAGAGAAAAGAAGAGCAGGGACAGAGCTCAACCTGGATGGGAGGGGAGGCTGCGGTGCTGCTGCACACCAGAATCATGTCACTGAGGCAAAAACGAGTCGTGCACCTGATTTGGGTTACAGCAAGGAGCTCATTTCTGCCACCCCTGCTCGGCATGTGGCATGAAGTGGGTGCTGCAGCACAACTGAGAGGCAAGAGGCCTGTTCCTTCACGGACCCTGCCAGCACTGCATGTCACATTGGGCACGTTAGCAACGGGGGGACTTGCAGAAATGTTCTATCTCCTGCCCCACTGCTGGGATTACAACTCTGCAGCCCTCACTTTCCTCTGAGATTTGTCCTGCACAAGGGAAATGAAGAGATAAATCTTACATCTCCTTGTTAATTCATATAAAAGCCAAGTCAGTTGGCCAGGCAATGTCTGGCTGCTTGAGCAAGGCAGCTTAAACTAGCAACACAAGGGTAAATCTCAGTGGTAGCTATTTTCTGAGTATTGCTTTTCCTGAAGAGAGTTCTCTCCAAACCTTTTCCATTTTGAGACCTGCATGTCATCCCCTGCAATGTGAAACTATTTCTATGGGACACACATAAAAAAAAACATCATGGATTTGCACAGGAGACCGAATAAATCTATGCAGAATCTTAGACATTATAGCTAGAGGCACACAAGAGGGGAAAGGGCTTTCAAAATGACCTCCAAGCCAGTCATCTTCCTCCCAAAAAGTCTCCTGGCTTATATCCTGGCCAAGATTTACAAAAAGTTAAATAAGGTTTCCCTCACACACACCTCTGCAAAAGACTTGGACCAAAATACTTGTTTTGTCAACAGTTACCTGGCATTGCCAAGAGTAACCACTCATCTGTAAGGAAAATTACCTATGCAACCACGTGAGGAAAGGAAGAAAAACCCTCTGTGAATTTGTTTGGGTGTTGTAAATTCAGCTTTACACATTGGCTGTCCCTTGGCAGGCCAGTGCAGGAGGATGGTGGATTTTCAAAGCTGGCAGAGGTAGGGGAGAGGGGCCTTGACCAAATGTACATCTGATAACTTCAAATGGGGAGCAAAAAGTTCTCTGTAACTCCATTATGTTTTGTACCAGCCCAACAATGGAATCATTAGCAGGAGGGGAGAGGAGCAGGTTGTAAGCATGCAGGTATCAGCCAACCTGTGGTGGGAGGTTTTTGTTAGGGCCACAACATAAATCTAAGAAAAAAAATGTTAAGCTAAGGGAACAATTTAATCTATTCAGCTAGAGGCTTTGCATGGGAAAACACCCAAATCCTAGATTCCTATGAAGTTTGTTTATGAAATTCTGTGATTGGAGGTATTTTCATTTATTGTGGGAACCTGCAGCTGAGCAGTTACAGAGATACTATGCCCCATGAAGGGCCAGGACTGCCTCTCCCCCAGCTCTGAAGACCTCAGCATGCTCTGGCTCTTGGGGACCCACAACGTGTTACTCAAGTTGACCCTGCTTACATGCAAAACAGCATTTCAGCACAAGCAGCTAATACAATGTGAGGGTTACGGTGCTCCCTCCGGCCCTGACTTTGCTCTACAAGCTGGGCTGCCTAATTCTTCCTCTGCTATACTGGAGCAAGAGCTCCATCTTCTGAAGAAGCAGAAAAGAGCTCAATTCAGACTGTGCTCCTGAGCAGCCAGTGGTAAAAAGTCACCCACAGTATAAAATGACCAGTCTGCAGAGGAAAGAGAATTGCTAAATGCAAAGGGAGAAAATCAATTTTCAGAGTGCAAGTCCAGTATGGCTGTAAGGACATGTCACTGAGAAGCTCCAGGAACAGCTCTAGGGAATACAAGAAAGCATCATCCTACAGTATTGCCTGCAGTGCATGTAAAATCAGAACCATGCCTAGAGCCTGCACATATGATTAGCAACAGCCAGAGAGGACAGAATTAATCTTAGGGAAAACAGCCTCAGTGCTGCGACTAGACCCTGGCAACACAACTGAGAAGCATCCAGGCTGTCATGTAAGACTCAGAGGAGGAGCCTCCTGTGCTCTCACCTCGTGAAATTCTCCTCAGTTTGTACTCTGTAACTTTGTTAAGCCAGCCTGGAGCTTCAGTTCTCTAGGCTTTGGGTGATACAACCACTGCAAAGCAAACCAGTGTCAGCATTTGCTGTTTTCAGGATGCATTTATGGCTGGAGAAACCTCCTGCACAGGCTGTGGTCCAGGACCAGGCAAGGTGTGATAACCAGACTTCCCAAAAAATCAACACAACACAGGGTGTTCCATGACATGGGGAGTCCTTCCAGTTGTGCTGCTAGCCCACTACAAACTACCCCTCATTTCACCTCCAACCTGTTAAATTTGACTGCCCTGTAACAAAGGGGATAAAAAATACCTTTCTGTATAGGAAGGATTTCACTGAAATACCCTGGAAAACCATCAAGAGCTGACTTGAAGCCTTTCAAAAGGCTTCCTTCATATTCATCAAAACAATAGATTCTGACAAAAAGGAAGTATTGAAAAATAAACATACTCACAAAATTTGTTTCATATGGTCAGAACTGGTGGATCCTTCATTCTGTTTTTTTTTTTTTTTTTAATGGACTAAACCTATGTGGGTTTCCTGAGCTGCTCCCATTGCAAACCCTGGTCTCTGTTTCCAGTGGACAGCATGGTGAGGAGGCAACACATGGAGGGGTGATGCTGCATGCATGGCAAGGGCGACAGGCTGCTCTTAAGGCATTTTCTTGTGTCATCTGTTATGCTCCCCTATCTATTTGTATGTACATTTATGGCTAGAAAATGAGAAATATGATTTTTTGAGACTAGAAGTCTTCTGCTGAAACCTGGTAACCTGTTTATAAACTTCATTCTAATGATGGATTAACAAGCAGGCAGCAATGAGGGCAAGAGTGAGGCTGCAGAGATGAAGAACTGCCTCCAGAGTGCTGGGGGTCAGGCCACGGCGTCTTGTGCAGCAGGAGGAGATTTTGCCTGGGTACCTCCTATTCACACAGGGTTTGAGCTACAGCAGCAAGTAGGCAAAACAGGCACGGGAATCCCTGGTCAGACTCCATCTCTTCTCCCCGATCTTCTACCCAGTGCTCTTGCAAAGAAATCTACATTTTTAAATGCTTGGTTTTAATTTACTAGTGCCTAAAGTCACCGAAACGTCTTAAGGTGTTAACGAACAAAAGAAGCTTAATTTACTACTTTTGCAGGCTTTTTTGGAGTAGCTGCTTGCTTTTTTTTTTTCCTGCAGAGGCATATGCAGCCAGATTTAGTACATCAAGTGTAATGCAAATGGCTTAAAAGACCTGATAGGGTTTATGAACTATTTCTGCTAGGCGTGCTATATGATACCTGCGACTTTGGCATTCCGAAATCTGCAGTCACCGACTACTATCTGCAGACTGTGCACTGGAATCCAGCCTTCTTTTCTTCTGTTTAGGTTTTTCACCAACCTTTGAACGACAACAGCATTAGTAAAAGAAACAAGCCAACCCAAGAGCAGTTTGATACAAGCATGCCCTACACAGCTGCTGGTGCAGCCAACAGTTTGTTCAAATCGGGGAACGTCTGGGCTTACTTTGGGAGCCCTCCAGAAATACCAGTTCTCCTCCACTACCAAAGGAGCTAAGGGCAAGTAATTTACTCACTTCCCTGATGTTGAGCTAGATTGCCAGGATTAATTTAGTCAGGGTACTATGAGTCTAGCCAAGAGTTAGGCAGCTGGCAATGCTCATAAATGACATGGCTCTGTCTCACTGACGTAGTGAAATTTGTGCTAACTAAAAAGTTTGTTATGAGAGATTTTTGCCTGGCACTGGCCAAAACCACCATGAGAGATGGTGAGCATTCAGCAAAACTAAGATCCTTTACATCTTGCTTTTGCTAACATCAGACTGGATTTTGCAAAGTGCAGTTGGACTGGATGGTCATTGTAGGTCACTTCCAACTGAAATTCTATTCTATTCTATTCTATTCTATTCTATTCTATTCTATTCTATTCTATTCTATTCTATTCTATTCTATTCTATTCTATCCTGCCCCACTCCATCCCATCCCATTCCATTCCACTCTATTCTTCTCCCTTGAACTCCAAGAGCTGTAGATGTTGCCCAGGAATCCTCCACAAGGCATTTGTATCTGTGCACTTACAGGGTAGTGCCTGCACAAATCCAATCCAGATCCCTGCTGGTATCACCCTTCCCACACCCTGAACAAGGCACTAGTGCACTGTGCCCTCTCCTCATGAGACCACAGGCTGGCTGATGAGATCTAGTCAGAAACCAGCCTGGAATAGAAAGACAGCCAGAAGTCTCATCCAAATGACTGCAAAGGTGAGAAGAGGGGATGTTGCCCTCCACAGTTCACCAGGCATGGTGATTTCCCAGGTAATGCTCCCAGCCATAAGGAGAGAACCTGCTGTGAAGTGTCACCTCGCCAGAGGCAGCCTTCAATACCACAGAGAGATGGTCTGCAGGCATTAACCAGGTAACACTCCTGCAACTGTCTGAGGGAGGAAAACGCCTTGCAATTATTCAGTATTCAATTAATAAGCCCAGAGGAACAAAGCCAAAAGCTGAGCTGACGTGGGCAAAGAGCTCCCACCTGAAGCATCATCTGAAGAGCATGGCAAGAGGGGCTGTGAGATCAGCTTGCCCAGACACCCACAGCAAGGGAAGTCCTGGCATGTTTTCTCAGGCCAAGCCAGTGCATACAGACTCCAGTCTTAGCAAGGGAATGAATTCTCCAGCTTTCTGGAATAGTCTAAGACTTAATCAGAAGCTGCAATGAGTGTATCACCAGGCAATCCAGGCTGCACAGGACTGCTTTGCAGGCTTTGAGAGATAAGGTAAAGTAATCCTAATTTACCTACCACTGTCCCTCACCATCTTCATGCAAAAGCTGAATTTCATCCCCATTTTTCACCAGCAGGTCCTCTGATCCTCTCCTCTTGCAGTCTGCAAGGGCTTTGTATTTTCCTGGAGACTGTAGTAGTAAGAAAAAAAGTTTATCTCATTTAGCTGCATTTCATATCATGCAGAACTTACTTCTGGCTGCCACAGGGAATGTTACAGAGCCCTATCAGCTACCTTAATTAAAATTATTGCTAGAAACTGTGGCTGATACATCTCCTCATTCCCCAAATTGAGATATAGAAAAATCTGAGAGAGACAGACAAGATACATCCATTACCCAGTGAGGCAAAAGAAAGCAAGATGACCCAAAGCAGCAGCACCCCAAGCTGTGGGACTCCTGCAGCTCTGCACTCACCAGCTGGTTCCCCTCCTCCTCCTCGGTGTCCGAGCAGTTGGAGAGGTACTGGTTACCCGACCACTCCTCCAGCCCCTCGCAGATCTCCAGGGACTGAGACATTCCTGGCCAGCCTGCAAGACAGCGTGCAGCTCAGGCTGGGCTCGCCCCAGCGCCCACAACACGTGCCCTGGAGGAAGGGGAAGGGCCTGTACCTCTGTGGGGCTTGTTCTGGGGGGACACAAGCCCACTGTCCAGCAGCACCGGGCTGGTGCGCTCCGAGTCGTTCTCCTCTGAGCTGATGGAGGCTCTCTGCTGCTTCCTGAGCGACAGGGAAGGAGAAACCACCTTAGCTTTGCTTTAGGAGTGAACACCAACTCCACCAGGTTTCCTAAAACAGGGTCAGAAATAATGATGCTGGGTTTTGATATACGTTTCTGTAAAGGTTAAGGGCTTCAGTGCCTGGTTTTAATTTGGGAGGAGGGGGAAAATCCTGCTGCAGTCTCTCCTTCCTGGGATTTGAGCGCAGACTTTGATCTTCATCTCCATTCACAGAGGAGCTGCAGCTCAGGCTGCGCTGCAGGAGAGTGTCCAAGGGTGCCCCTGACAGCTCCTGTCCCCAGACCACTGCCCCCGAAGGATGAATGGCAGCACATCCCTCCTCTCCCCTACCCAGAGGTCTGGGACAGAAACGGGGTGGGGGGAATGGCACAGAGCCAGGGCACAGGGGGGCAGAAGGCCCTGGGTGCCCAGCGAGGCCCCGACCCGGCTCCCAGCACTCACCCATCACTCAGCTGGGAGGACAGTGGGACCTGCTCCGAGCACGAGCTGGGCTGCTGCTTCTCCACTGTGGGGAGGTCAAACACCAGTTTCAAACCCAGTTCTTTATCAGTAACCGTCACACTTGAAGCGTTATTTTTAAAGTTAGACCTTTTGTACAACCCTAATGATTTCTGTTCAGAGAAAAACAGACCCAGAGACTCTTGCAAAGCACAGACTTAGTTATGATTAAGATGGTATGTTAGCACAAATCTAATCGTGAGCATGCCACTGAACAGTCTAATATGCTTAAAACTAGGCATCTGCTATGTATCTTCCTGAATCAAGCCTATGATAAATGTGAAATAAACCCCAAGGTAATGAAAAAAAAAAAGGAAAAACTTCTGTAATTCATCTTCACATAAGCACCTGGCCGTAACTGCTCTGGGGTTATTTTATTTTCCTGGAATGGAAGACCTCACTCCAGCATGTTGCTACCAGGCTTCTTCTGAAAAATCAATTCTCTGGTGAGAATTAGTGGATTTGAAGATTAGCCATGTGAAAATAGGAAAGGTTCTGCTGCGGAGGGAATGCCACAGAGAAATTGGTCAAATGTACCTTTTATAAGTTCCTGCTGCTTGAACAAAATTTTTCTTATTTCATTCAACCATGCCATCTTCAGATCTACTGTTTGGGCCTGGAAGAAGAGAATACTGTCTGAGTTCTGAATTCAGAATCATGCATTATAAAGTATTAATAAAATCTTGCATTTCTATGCTGTAATCACCTGAAATCCCCTCTTATCCAAAGCCACCACTAAATTTTAAACGCTCTTGATCTTTTTAAATCCATGATCCCCACTACAATGAGGCAAAACACGGTGGAATCTGTGGAACCATCACCACAACACAAGGAGTGCAGGCAAACACACACGTGTGCATGCATCTGATCTCTTTACAAAACACCTGAAGGGCCAAATCTGCCTTTTGAACATATGTGCACTTGGCTACATACATCTGCTTTATGCATTTGAGTTGGCTACTGTGTTGCAACATGGAGGAAGCAAGCTGGGCAGAAGACTAATTAAAAAGAAAAATCAATAATATTTTCACAACTGGTTTTCCTGTGGACACCCCAGTAGACAAACATTTCACCTCCATAAATCTCTATTCAAAGGGCTATGAAAGAAAAAAACCCCAACCAGCTCAGCTGGGCTACTGTTTTGTAGATGAGTCAAAAGACTACTAGAAACAGCACCTTGGAGGCCAAGCCTCTGCTCCAGGAGCAGTTCTGACATCTAACTGTAGAGGAAGCACACGTGGCCCCTGCCCATTAAGCATGAGGCCCATTTCCCAGCTCAGTCATATAAGCTACTAAGCACAGTAAAACTCCTGGTCTGTTTGACATTTCATCTGCAATAAAAGGCAGTTTCCAAGGAGCAGTTCTGCCTCCACTCCAAGATGACTTTTACAGTTCTGGACTGGACGCCAAGGACCAGCCGCCGGGACAGCTCTGTGAACGTTGGCATGGGCAAAGAGGAGCAAGACATGCAAGTTAAATGTCTGATGATCCTGTAAAGATCAGTCAGAGTCATTTCCTTAACGCTGTCAGGAGGATGTGCAAACATCCATGTGTTTGAAGCTCCAGACCTGCACGACGTAGACCTCTTCTCGCCCGCTATACCAGATTTCAAACTTCCGATGGTCTCCTTTCACATTCTCAGTTATTCCAACTGCATTCATCTGAAAAGCCAAAAGAACCAAAAGATGAAACACACTACGAACCTCTCCCTCTTCCCTATGAACCCAGGCATTTTGCAGCATGATAAACAAACCTGTCTCCACCCTGTTAAACACATTTCATCAACTTTAATTTCAGTAGCAACTGGAAGTCATTAGGTGACTTATCCCCCCAGCTTGCTGTACTTGTGCAAGTTTTCTGTATGGACCTTAAAGGATTTTTTATGCAGAACTACCTGAAAAGTCATCTCATATCTCTTCCAATATGAAATTTCTCAGATGAGGCTTAAGAAGCTTTATAAATGCACGGCGTGTTATTTTTCTACAGATGTTATTTCTGCCACACTGTTCTTTATTTACTGACTTCATTCTGCATTTTATTCTTTCAGTGATCTTTAAAATCCATTTGTGAAGCCCTCAGCTCCTTAGAAATTTCAGCTCAACATCTTTTGCTCCCAGACCATCCCTGTAGTTGAGAGATCATCCCAAGGTTTCAAAAGGGTTGATTTTTTTTGATATACAACCTGAGCTGCCATAAACCTTTAAACTTACAAAAATAATTTATGAAAGATGTTGAAAGGGCAGCCCACAGAGTGCCTCATCCATATTCTGCAGTTCCTAGCTCTGTGCACCTCCTCTGGCATGGCAATTTATACAGAAGCTCCTACAAAGCTGCCCAGGCATCAAGATACTAGAAATCAGGGATGATCTACTATGAGGACACAAAGGGAAGTGCCAGGAGTAGAGATATTTAAGGTCTGTTTTTTCCTTTTAGTGGGCTTTGAAATTCAGTTTCCTCCCCCTGAGCAGGATTTACTGTCCCTCAGCTGCTGGTTGCCTGCAATGCAGACCGAGGTGGGGTAGAGTAGAGCTCTGGGCTGAGGTTCATCTGCATCACCTTCCACAGCAGTCTGAGGCACAGATTTACTTGGCATTGCAGTGAATTAGGAACATCCTCTAAGTTACTGAATCTCAGCTAAAGAGGCATTTACCACTGCATATTTTACATAGTATGTAAAATATTATCCTGAAGGGTACTTTTGTTTGTTCCACAGATGTCCAGTTACACAGCTTCAACTCAACAGCTTGCTTTAATTCTGCATCTCCAGAAAACATTTGTAATTTCCTGATACTATCATGAATCAAACAAATGTCAAGCTCCAGAAACATGGTTTTGCCCTCAGGACAGCAATTCTGAAACAGATGTGTGTGAATGTAATCTTACAGAATCCATGAATTCTCTAATCCCAACCTCTCAGTGTGGCAACACAAAACCACGAGAAAATGAGTCCTCTTGAGGCAAAGAAAAACCCTGGCCACATTGCCTGGCCTCCTGAGTGCAGGATTTTCTCCTCTGAGCAGGTTTTGCCCATGCTACCTCTCCAGTTCTTTCAAAAGCATGTGTGCCAGAACAAGTACTACAGGGAAAACGAGCTCACCAGAAGGAAAATGATGCTGTTGGGAAAAAAACATTCAAGTACCTAAACATATGGCCTGGGATTTGCTTTTAATACACAATTTGTAACGTGCACTGGAGCTGAACAGACTTCTCTACCATGACAATGCTTTCTGACTACTTGTGGCATGTCCCTCCCCAGACCCTGGTGACATCAGGGCCCAGCAGCATCTGCACCTGAAGCCTCTGCCTCCAAGTGCCCAGTTTTTTTCCATTCTGAGCTACACTTATATTGGGGGTTTATTTATCAAGAACAAGGCAGAGTACTGAGACAAAATGCTGATGGTAGAAGTGCTCATCACAGTCTGCCAGAAGGTCTCTTTCAGAGGAGCAGTTTGGGATTTTTATTGATAATAGTTAGCATTTACAGGCTTGGGACAGTTGTTTACATCCTTTCTATTTTGCCATGGGCTACTCTCTTCATCTGATAATTGTGCTTTCAGCTGCAGCTGAAGCATGCCAAGGGAGAAAGGAATGAGAGAGGAAGAAGGGTTCTCTCTGCATCCTCCTGGCTGGAATACAGGGTTCAGGAGCAGCCAGACAGAGCCCAGACCAGTCTCCCTAGGGACCATGGCCATGAGGAGCCCCTTTACTCTCCTAGGTGGACTGGGGAAGATGCAAAGGGCCTCCTAAGTTTCATGCCCCTGCTCCTGGAAAAAACTAAAGGAGTGGGGAAGGCACGTTCTCATCTCTGGGACTGGCCTGCAGCTCCATTTCCCTGGCACATGCCATCACATGTGTGACTCCAAGTCCATGGCCTCTCCTAGGGGCTGCTTCACCTGTGGGCTCCTCACAGCTTATTACAGCCACAGCCTTTCTCAGGCATGGCACTTCCACAGGAGGCACTGCAGCACTTAATGTCAGAAAACAAGTCCCTGTGTTAGAGGAAAAATACTCTTAGGGTCTTCAGAGTTATTGGGTTACAATACAAATGGCAACGGCCCCAACTAAAGATCCTTACTTTCAAAAAGTGCTTAAAACTGTAAGATGAGGTTTTGTCATAGCCATCTCCATGCTCCTCTCGCTTCTTGCAGAAGACCAAGGCCTTCTCATACAGGAACAGATGCCTCTGCATTGGCTTGAACCTGGCAAGATCCTTCATTTTTGTTGGACCTTTTCGGTGTCCTGTCCAAACACTGAAAGATCCTTGCATCAATACTTTCCCCAGCTCGCTCAGGTCACCCTGGTGAGAGCATGACAAATGAAAAAAGAAAGAAAAAGACATCAATTAAAATGTAAGAGGGCTGTCCAAACAATGACAGGCCATGGGGCCAGCTCTGCTCCAAGGCATGTCACTCTAAGAATAGGCCTTCCTGGAAGGATTAGAGTATTTTTGGGGAGCTATGGCACCATGCCAAGAGGCAAGCAGAGGTGTCTGACACAGGGCTGCAGCTAGTCTACATGAAGGGATACAGGTCAGTAACTGGGAAAACTAGGAAGGCAGGAAAACTCTCCAGCTCCTATGGAAGTCGAGGTCAAAGGCTCTGGCTACTTCTGAGGGAGAGGGTAGATGAGATCTGAGCCTGACCTGAGGCCTCAGAGGATGGGCTTCTCTCATTGAGGCTAGGACTGGGACCAGCAGATTAGAAAGCCAACCCCTCACCCTGGCCCAAAGTCCTAGGAAAGACAACCACTTCAATGGAAAAGGATCAAATCAGCCTCAGAGAGTAATTAAGTAAATGCTGGATGAGAAATGCCCTGAGGAAACCCCAGGTGAATTATTAGGTGAGCCATGAGAGAACCAAGATGTGTGCTGGAAAAAAGTACTCTTGAGAACCACCAGGTGGCAAGTGTGGGCACTATGCACTGTGGATGAGTCCTTTGGATGTGGGTAGTTTCCAAAATCCTGCAATTGGATGGGAGACTGTCACCTGGAAGAGCTCCCTGATTCCATTCACTTTGTAGCTGTTTTAGTATGGTTTCTAGCTCATACTTTCTGGGACACTATCCATTTGCAATGCACCATCTGGCCTTGTGCAAGGTCTCTCGTTACCCAAACCTACTCACATCATATCCTGTTATTGAAATCTGATGCATAGAGTCATTGACTGACTTTAACAAATCCAACATTGCAACCAAAGCTTCTTGAAGTTCCTGAACTCCATCACAGCTCGTGCTGTACTTTAGCAACTCCTGAAAATAGAAATGGAAGAGCACGTGTTTGCACTTGAACAAAACCAGACTTGTCCATCTTGCTCAAAGTTTCCAATGCCCAAGAGCAACCTACACTGTCCAAGTTCTTTTTTCATATGTCACCAGGAAAAAAAACTCACTCCAAACCAGAGTCAGTATGAGATGTGGAACAGATCCCTGAAGCATGGCCCATTTTTTCTGGGTTTTTTAAGGACAGCATCAGGTTACAGAGTGGCATCATGCCCATCTGAGTTCTTTGTGTTGTGTTTTCCTGCTTGGTAAGAAATGGGAAATAAGGCTCAGGTTTTCCATCAGCTGCCAATATGTCATATATGCCTTCAAATGAGGTTGCAGCAGATGATTGTCTTCAGACTGGCAGACACAAGGAACAGAATTTATAAAATCCAGAGCCTTCAAGTCAATAAGTGGAAGACAGATTAGGGAATTATACCACTGATATAAAATTACTTTCATTTCAGACCTCTTGTGCCCACTTGCAGCTTCATGTGTACTCATCTCTCATTTGAGAGGCTAGAAGGTGGGGTTCAGAAGCCACCTCTCCAGTGTTCTTCCCACTGTACAGAATGGGAGTAACAGCACTGCCTTGCCTCAGATGGGTGGCACAAGAATAAATGCACTGAAGATTACAAGTGCTATAACAACCTCAGGAGAAGACATGCATCAATATCTTTCATTCATTGTACTCTTAGGATCATCTCCGGTTCAGATTTCTTAGAAATGCTTCAATCATTTTGCATCTCTGAAGAGATTCAAACAGTCTTTCTCCCCTTAAAAAATGGCTTGTTAAAAGCACTTGTTCCTTCTTCAGATAAGTGAGTTTTCATCTTCACTGAAAGTCACTGCAGAGGGACAAGATAAGCAATACATAATCTAAAGCTTGGTGCTGGAAAATAACACAAACTGGAAAAGAGCATGAAATACCTTCAGAAGTAACTGGTATTTTGTCAAGCGTTGGACTGGTTTGAGCAAATAGGAATCCAGCCCAAGTTTGTGTTCTAATTTAAATTCCTGGAATAAAATATTCAGATTAAGTAAGTTCTGCACCAACTACAAGCAAGTATTCCAACAGCATGATTAGTATGTTTTGATGACTGTGAAGATCTCATGTAAGAATGTTAGATGATGCTTATAAGTAAAGAAATTTTATAAAAACATGTAAAATAATAGAATATTAATACTATATTAATACAATATATAACGGATCTGCCTTAAAAACCTTGTGTACAGGAAACTCCAACTGCTATTTTTGTGAGGTTTCCATGCAACACCAAAAAGAATATGCTGCAAATTCATGCGGTGCTGCAGAGGGTGTTTAGGATAAGTGAGTGTCCCAGGGTGAGGCCTGCCCTGGCAGGAACAAAGAGCTCACCTGGAAGAAGGTGCTTTCAGAGCACTGCCTCCAGAGGGACTCGGAGCGGGGCTTGTTCTGGCAGTATTTCTCATACATCTGGAAATCCTCTCGCTGTAAGGGAAGCAGCCAAACCAGGTGAACACGCAAACCCCACGTTTGCTTTTATCTCTGCTGCCATCTACCTCTGCTGTCTAAAAGGCACAGAGTCTGGGTAAAAAAAGCACTGCTAGGAACTCACAGCAGACCGCAGTGTAGTCACGACTGCTGCTCTCCCCCATCTGCTGCTGGCCACCCACCTACACTCCCTGTCTGGCTGTTGGTGTTGCCTATCAGAAGCATCTTACTCAACTGGCATAACTGAGATGTTGCAGAGTGTGACAAATCAGGAGAAACATTGGCCTTCCAGTCTGCTTTAGATGTGAAAATGAGTCACCCACCCTGTCTAGGAAACAAAATCCCACTCTCTCCGGTGCTCCCAGGCAGCTTTCCAAACTGTGCAGGAAAATTCTGCAAGAGATGGGACAAGAGAAAAACGCAGCAGTAAGCAAGGTAGGGGGGTATGGTTTGGGGATTTAATCACTGTATGAAATCAGCCTGATACAAGGGGGGGCAGAGCCAGGGTCGTACTTGTTGTGGAAGTCGTATATCTCGGGCATGTTTCCGAAGAGGACATCCTTCCTGTTCCTCAGCACGGGGGGCATGAGGAGCAGCATGGCAGGGTTATCCATCTCCGCCCTGTAGCCCTGCGGGATGCAAAAGGGGCTCGTCACTCACTTGCTAAGAATTTAGCTTGGCATCTCCTCGAAGGCAGATGAAAAGGGGATGGGAACAGGCTTTCGATACAATCCGCTCTGTTTCAAAGTGCAACGTCCCTTTTAGTTCTTTATTTTTGCCTCTAAACCCTTGTCTTTCAGTCCCTAGGCACAGGGGGTTGTAGTCCAGGAGGGGATGGTTTGGGAGGGCTCCTGCTCTTGTACAAGATCCACCGAGCACCAGGGTCTCACTTTCTTTGGTGCCTCAGGATTTCTGTCGTCTGTGGCTCCACCTCTTGAAACCTCAGCCTCCCAAACTGGGAGGAGCTGGAAGGGAGACCTCAGAACTACAAATTGTTGGGTGGAACTAGGAAACAGTGCAAAGCTCCCTTCAGTAAAACCACATCACTGCACCAATGCAAAACCATTCACCAGATGTGGTAAACACCCTAACCATAGGGTAGGGAGAAGGTATGGCCAGAGCTCTGGACCATCACTGCAAAGAAGACATCAAGAAGGCCACTAGCCACAGCTCAAGCTGGCCATGCTAGCCACCAAGCAGTGCACAGAACTGAGGTCCTTTTAACATAAGTAGCAAAAATGTTTGCAAAAATGTGTTCAGTATGTACAGCATATCTTCTTTGGCTTTCCAAATTAATCTTCACTCCCACTATGGCTGGAAACTGTATTCCTTATACTAAGCAGACATTTTGTAGTTGCAGTAGAAGATAAGTATCTGGAAAATTAGTGATTTATATTTAACCACTGCAAGCAGGCTCTCCTCTTTAAAGGAAATATTATTTTCATAAAACTTAAGACTACCCATCCATTTTTCTCTACCTAGACTTGATATGCACAGTAGTAAATCTGCATACCTGCCAGCTGCTTATCATACAGAGTGTGGGTTAACAAAAAAACAATCAGTGCAGGGCAATTACATGTAGCAACCTGCAGTCCAACAGATTTATATCCTGCTTGCTCTGGGGTGAGAGAAATGCAAGAGGGGAGAGCTATTTAACAGCCAGCTTGTTTTGGCCATCAGCAAGAGTTATTTTGGAATAAAGTAGAAGTGTCTGAAATGGCACTGTGAGAAATGATAATCTGAAGTTTTATCTTCAGATAAATTTCTAAATTTATCTAAGTTTATTTTCTAAAGAAAAACTTCTAAAGAAATGTACTTTGTATGTTCACAAACTTCACAGTGTTGAGACAGAATCCTCCCAAGGATAAAACACCAGCTTCTTTCTTTTGTCTCCAGAAGGTAAAAGAAATTAGGGAACACTCAAAACCAACAGCTTTTTGTAGATTTTTCCAGGCACTGATAAAACTAATTACCAGTGCTTTTGTGTACAAACAGAAGGCTTCTCCCTCATTCTAGATGAAAAGCTCATCCTGACACCAACTGTTCCTGCAGATGCCTCCAACAAAGAAAAGCTAGGGGGAAAACTTCAACATTTATGACTAGCTTGGGATCTGACAGTTTGTTAGAAAGCTGCCCTGTCCCATTTTTGCTCAGTTTGACAGAGTGGCAGGTGCCCTTCTGTACAAGTCACCAGGGACCAGTCATGAGCAATCTGAAGAAGCCACTCACCGTCAGAACAGTGAAGAGCTCCTCTACATAGACTCTCTCAGTTTCTATAAGCTCATTGATGACGTGGCTAGAATAAAGGAAAAAAAAACAAAGGATACTATTTTTATGTTGGTAAAAAACCCACAGGCATTCAGTGGAGTTCAACAAGCCCAAAATACAGTGATGGTGACCAACACAGAGATGATAAAGTAGGTAAATGCACAAGAGATGACACCCAGGTCAGGCTGGAGGAACACAGGAGAGGGCAAGCACTGGCCATAAATAAACATCATTTTGAGTGATGTAAACAGAAGCTTACCCTTTTAGTATATCTAAGTTGTCATCACTGTCTGAAATAAAATACTGCAAGGAATTCCGTTTTTCCTGATAGTCGTGCATCACTTCTATCTGGAAGAGAAATGGGATGCACTGGGAAGAGCTGCAGGGAGGCCACTGCAGAGGCAGGACGAGCCCAGCCCCTGAGGTCAGCACGGGAGCTCCTTGGGGAAGGATGAAATATGCTTCCTTTTAACAAATCCTTTGTGACACAGAACTTTAGAAGGGCAGAATGTATCATGGGCAGCCAGATACTCTCAGAAATTACTCTGCTACATAAAATCTGAAACTACTAGTGCCATAACTCATTAGTGCAGAGACCAGAGAACAGTTTCCACAAGGGAAATATCTGTGGATGGGGAGCTTTTCTAACAGACATCACTGTTATGCAAACAAGCTCAGGGAATAACACACAGGAAATCGATATCTGTGACTTGGAACAACAACCCAAGATAAATCCCAGGTGCTAGACTAATCCAGCTAAGCCATATGGATATGAAGGCTGGGGTTTGGTTGTTTTTTTTAAAGGAAAAAAAAAGAGCATCTTCAAATCTAAAGTCTAAGTATAATCAAATTTCACAGGGGTCTTCAAATCCAAAGTCTGAGTATAACTAAACCATATGGATATGAAGGCTGGGATTTGAGTTTTTTTTTAAAGGGGAAAAAAAGAGCATCTTCAAATCCAAAGTCTAAGTATAATCAAATTTCAGAAGGGTCTTCAAATCCAAAGTCTGAGTATAATCAAATTTTAGAAGGATCCTCAAATCCAAAGTCTAAGTACAATTAAGTTTTAGAAGGATCCTCAAATCCAAAGTCTAAGTACAATCAAATTTAAGAAGGGTTTCAGTTTTTCAGTGTATAAAACTCACTCAGATTTCATGAATAATTTTTACCTTGCGAGAACTTGGTGTTTTTCTTGATGTTTTCTTCCCAGGGAGGGACAGATCAAATGAAAATTTCAAGCTGGAATTAAAATCCATACCTTGGGTAGAAAAAAACACAGTTATGTAATGAACATCTACAGTGGAGATGGTTCAGATAGAAAATAATAAGTCAAACAGAAAACTGGGATACATTTTAAGAATTAATAATTAGCTAATGCTAAAAGCAAACTGACACAGAGTGTCTACCTCAAACAATACTAATACCAAACAGCACAAGCCACAGGGATGGTCATAAATGCCAGAAAGTAAAATAAAAAAAATAAAAAAGACCAAAATGACCATTAAGTGAATACTGTGATCTAAACCTAACAATGTCTGTGAAGCCTGTGCAAATGATAGAAAACAATAAATTCAAATAAACTACCAAAAGGAACACCATCTACTAGGATACTGGCTTAAAGTCCTTTTATGAACCTAGGGCAAGATGCTCAGGTGCTGCAAACTGTTTCTCCACCTTGGAATAATTATATTGTCAGCAAATAATTGCAAATTGTAATACTTTGGATTACAGAGGTAAATTGGGAACTTGGAAATAAAACATCCATCTTCCCAGTGAGTTATATGACATCTTTCAAATACTTCTTCCTCCTGAACAGTCATTATGGAAACTCTTCACCAAAAGGGTCCTTTTCCCCAACACAAATGACAACAATGAATTTCTCCAGCTCTGTGAGGCCTGTTCCAGCCTCAGTGACACCTCCTCCGTGGCTGCAGCAAATTCTGAGATTGGACCAAAAATAAGCACATTGATGTGCAATATTCACCTAATTTAGAAACAGAAAAAGAGGCTAACAAAGTAAAAACAAACAAACAAACAAATTCTGGACTAATGAACTCTATTTTCATTATGTCTAAAAAGATACCAGAGCACAAAGGAGTGCAACAGCAGCTGGGTCTAGATTGAAGGTTTGAACAGTGGTGACACCAAAAAGCCACCTCTTGTCCAGCAGAAGATGTAGGAAGGAAAACAGATGCAGAGGAATGCAAATCACCATGGAGAGCAGGCTCTCCATCTTCAGGTGGGGCTGCTGTAGGATGAAGCTATTATGTACCAACAAGGCCTTACACCTCCACGTGTAAAGAAGCCAAATGAGGAAGAAGAGAGAGCTGGATGCTGGGGAGCAGATCAGAGATGGGCATGGGATGTGACCCATCATGGACAGGAATACTGAAGGGAAGAGAGGACTCATAAGCAGTCCTACTGGTGGACCCCACTGGGAGGAAGGGAACATGGACTGGAAGTTAGAAGATGGTCACCAGCTGCAGCTTGGTGTTCTGTTGCAAGAGTGTTTTGACTCCAGCCCTTGGGCTCTGCTGCAACCTGCCATACTGCTTCTGCACATCTCACCAAGCTTTAGGGCTCAACACAGGTTTACTCTTTTTTCCAAAATAAAAAAAAATGGTTTCAAAATTAGAACCACATTTATCAGACAGGCTTCAAATCCCAGGCAATGATGAAAGAGGAAGTGTCTGTTCTCAGACAGAGGAAGAAGGGGGAGGAAAGAAAAGAAAGAAAGAAGAGGATGAGAGTAATGTGCTCAGAGGTGGTTGGTTCCAATCCACACCACGAGACCCATCCATCTCAAAGCTCTCCCAGCAGAGCCCAGCATGGGTCCTTGACACTGCACACCATGCCAGCAGGCTGCAGCAGCTTGATGTTTGGTATCAAACAGAGGCCTTATTAAAAAGCTCCCTTGGCATCATCTATCCAAAGAGGAGCCTTTAGTCTTTCTCTGTGTGTTGGCTCTGCTCAGTTCAACACACTTGATCATCTCTTTCAGGAAGGGGATTAATGGAGGGTACCTGTGCTTTGCAGGTGACTGACTGCCTTTGCTAGAGAAACGTGCATCCTCTAAAGGCAGGAAATAAGTCCAGCCAATTGATGATGGTCTCACAACATCCCACAGAGGTGGCCAGCCATTTACCCCTGCTCTGTAAGTCAGTAATTCCTCTTTAACACTTTCCTGTTCCTAGAAAGCTGGAAAAGTTACATTAGCTAAACTGGGCAATGCTCTAGGTCAAAGTCTCAGAGCTTTTTTTCCTGATTGAAGAAAGGGGTTCAGAGGGCAGTGTAGTCTACTGAAGGTGGCATCAGCCTGGCAAGAGGAAATCTGGGAATTATTTGCTGCACTGACCTGCATCTTGAATAGCTTAATTCCCCTCTCTGCATCCAACTTCACTCCCATCCCCCCACTAGCCTGGCTACTGACATTAATCACTCCCTGAGCTGGAGCCACTTTTACTGTTTGTATGACACCAATATTCATTAATTGATTGTAAAAAAAAATGTGTTAAAATAAGTATTTAATTGCTTTATGCAGTCACATCACTGAATTTAACATTCCCATGTAACTTTGGATGCCCCTGGTTTAAGATACATGGATGTTACTTTGGAATACTTTTAAATTCTGATACATGGAAGGTTGCTGAGGGTAAAAGTTTCAATGTTATCATTTAAAGACATTAAAATGGGATTGTGCTACATCCCATTACCAAATCAGGGCAGAACATTCAGCCACTTCAGTTCAACCAGAATTTGTACCTTTGTGGGCATTAATTATTTCACAGATGGGATTTAAGGAAGACTTGCTCAAGGAATCAAAGGGAGTTAAGCATCCAGCTCATTTCTGTTCATGAGATTTGAGCTCCTCATTTCTCCAAGCTCCTTTGCAAACATCAGTCGAACTTCATGTCAGTCCCAGCTCAAGAGAGCCACAGAGAACAGGCATGCTAATAAATGCATAAACCCTGCCCTTTTTCCCCTGTAGTACCAATTCACCAGTTTTCAGCCCAGTATGATGCTGCTAAAGCAGAACTGGAAGTGTGTGATGCTCACAGCTCTCTTTTTTCACTGAGTAGGAAGTGAAAACAAATACCATGTAACCCCATCCTTCACACAGGCATGGGAAGCTAGATACAAAAATGGGAAAGATAGCGAATCACCTCACATACACTCAGCATTACACAACAACCCTGTGTCAGCCAGCAAGGTGGAGTTGGTTTCTCAAAATCATCCTTCACCTTAACTCTTCCTGCCTCGAGACAAAATTATTACCCGAAAATATCATCAACTTAAAACCATTTTACCATGTTTAGGAGAGAAGAGAGGTGATTTTGCTCTCGGTGGATTTTCTGGCCGAGGGGCCACTAACTGGACGGGCCGCACGTGTTTATCCAAGAGCTTCCTGAAGCAAGACTGACGATTCTCAAACATGCTTCGAACGTTCTCGAGCTTGACCTGCACTGACTGGATCTGGCACTGCAGAGAGTGAAAAAGACCCCTGTGAACAAATAGCTACCATTATTGTGCACTTTGCCCCAAAACAAGGGACTGTAAAGCTGACAACACTGCAATACAGCCTGATTTTGCTTTTTATTTGCGTAACAAGGAACTGGAGGGGTTGCTTACCTTCAAGTCAGATGTTAAAACTGACTCAAAATCGTAGTGTAGGGCTTGGGGATCATAGTTCAAGTAGGCTGAAGAGCTTTCAAGAAATCTCTCTATGTCCTGGAGAGCTTTCTGAGCACCTTCTTTAGACTGGCACTTATCCATCTGCTGGTTGGCAAGCAGGTAGGCACCTTCATCACAGCACTGCAGAGCCTGGCACCAGCACAAGACAAACATAGGGAGCAAGACCATCAGTGGCATCCCTACTAAATCAAGGTTCCCATGAAGAATACAATTTACCAGATCTGTGTTTTCAACACAGAGCTAATGAGTATTCCTAAAGACCTCAGCAGCTATTGCATTTTGATTAGAAAGTAGAAAGGCCACAATTTTTCTGGAGGGTGACTACAGTCCTCAACACACCCAGCCAATTTGTGCTCCTGCTTGTACCTGGATAAAACCAGTGCTGTAACTGATAGAGAATCACTGTTTATTGAATAGTTGAACCAAATGCTAACCAGATCTTTATTTACCCAACTCAGAAAGCTGAAGGGGGCACTACAGAGTTTATGACAAGACAGGCAGGTTTCGGGAGATAAAAGTTCAGTGCAGACCTGAACTGTGAGGAATTATTAAAGTAATTGCAATTATGCTTTTTCAAAAAGGATTTAAATTTGCAGTTTAAAGTTCAACATTTACATGCACAGGTTAATAGGTAAACACCAGGCTGGGGTTCTGCTGGCACTCAGTGTGGAGAGGTATGAGAAGATGCTGCAGCCAAGAACCACAGACGATCTCCAGTGCTGTGAATGGGAAGGGAGAGTGTGGAGAGCAGGACCATGGTGTGCCTATGGGCTAGGGCACCAGCACCAACCAGGACTGCAAGGAGCCCAGGAGAAGATGGTGTCCTGCAGCTGAGAGGCTGCTGAGGAACCTTTCGTCCCCACAGGTTAGTGTAACATTGAAATGGACACAAAAGGGAAAACCAATTTCCTTAGTCCCCTGAAATAGTGAAATGGAACAGGGTCGAACTTTGCTGCTTCTCTTAGTGGCCTCAAGCATATTACAGCCTTGTGCCTTCTGGCCTAATTAGCGTGAACTTCCCTAAATGAATTTTTGATGCTGATTAAGATATCAAAGAGCGTTGGAACTACATGACTCCACTTCCATGCTAGCACACAGCAGCTGTGCCTACCTACCAATCTGTCACCTTATTTTACAGTCAGCTATGTTCATTCTTCATAAAGCACTAACGAAAAAAGGGATGGAGTTTATCTGAAGGCTTTGCCTCTGCTGCACTGGGTAAGGAAACCTCAAAAGTTAATTAGAAGATGGATGTAGCATGAAAGCATGAGCATGAGCAGTGGCTGAACTTGGTTGTTCTGAATTGCCCTCTGGAGATGCTCAGCTGTTTGTGCTGACTATTCAGAGCACCAGCAGGTATCTGTTTGCTAACTTAACAAAGCTAAGTGAGGGGTGAAGCCCTCCCCCAGCCTCTGGGGAACACTTTCCTACCATAAACTGCTGAAGCAAAGCTACAAATTTCAGATGTTTCCAGCTAAGAAGTGGAGAGGCTAACCCCATGGAGAGGCTAACTGCTTCTCAGGGCACTGTGTCTCTGAACTCTACCTGCTGAAGGCGTGTGTGAAGATCCAAGGTCTTCTGCAGCCGCATCTGCTTCCTTTTGATCTCCTCAGACAAGACATCAGAATGGTGCCGCAGCTCGTTGCATTGCTGGCAGATTAAGTTCAGTGCATAGTGATGATTTGCTGCTAGCTGGTGTCCGTGTAGAATCACCACCTGAGCCTTCCCTATCAGATCCTTCAGGGAAAGGAAGAGAACGGATTGCAGGCTTACTGAAATAATGCTGAAATATCTACATACAACAACATGCACTTTCTTGTCTTACCAGATTTCAGGCACACATGGAGAACACTGCCACTAGGAGTAGCCAGAATGGGTGGCTTACGCAGGATAAAATGGCACCCATCATCTGGGAAAAAAAACTTTTGCTATCCAAAAAGAGGATGAAGAAGAAAACAGTATTTCAGCAAACTAGCAAGGCTGTGAATGGCTGCTGGCAATGTACTGCTGCTGCCTCCAAGAACTGCTCTTAAATAAAAGTGCAGCTGATGTCACACTCTGCTCATAAGCATGAAAGGGAATTTGAAAAAGGGTTTGCAGTGAAAACCAACCAGGCCCTTGGCAGCAATGCTTGATGCAGAGAACACTTGTCTGCATGTCTTGGTTAGTGCAATGGTTATGTCTTCCTTAGGGCTGGCTTTCTGCTGAGACTGCATCCCTGTTGCATCCTCTCTGCCCAGGCTTTTGTTCCTCCTCCCTCTCTCCATAAACATTTCTTCCAAATGTCCAAAAAGCCTTAGACCCCTCCCCTAGCACTCTAATGTTTTAAGAATTCTCTGAGGGTTGTGTCCAGATCCCTCAGGATTTCCCCACTGACCCTGGCTCTATTGCCAAGCACATCCTTTTACACAAGTTTCATCCTCAGTTGGGCTCCTGTGAATCATCTCTCTTCAATCTTTTTTCCCCCTACATCTCCTACTCTTCATCCATATGGTATGTTCAAATCACAGACATGTCAAGATAGCAACTTTTTTCCCTCTCCATGTGCTTGGTAACAAGTCTCTGCCTATTAGCACTGCTAAAGCATTTAACATATAAATAATTCTTCTTCCAGCTCATTAACTCCCACGCCTCCTCCTATGTTCAGACATTTATCTGCTCTGGATTTTCACGGTGGCTCAGCAATTTATTTTAACTGTGATAATTAAATACCCTGTTCCTGGCTTTCAGAGTGATCACAGCATTACTGCACAGAGCACAGACATGAAATCAATCCTTTTGTGCAGCCACTTACCAACGAATTACACCAGAAACAGGTAATTTCAGAAAACACCTCCTACCACAAACACATAATGTAGCTCTTGTGTTTCATTAGTGCTTCTTTCTGTGCAAGATTCTCTCACCTGAGCCATACCATCAAAATGACCCAAGTCCTTGAGCCTCTGTTTCACTTGGAGGACACTGTCACCAGTGTCGGGCAGCTCTGCTTGCTGACCCATTAAAAATTCAATGGCATTCTTGACCTAGACACAAAGAAGAAGACTGCTGCAAAAGGATACAAAGCACAGGCAGAAAATCATTCTCAGACCAAAATTAATCACACTTTAGCTAAGACTACTAAATCTAATAATAAAACTAGTGTCCAGGAACTAACTTCTAAATTCAAAGATGCTTCTATCAGCAAAAACTATGTGACTGCAGGGCAGTGGTGTCTAAATTAGCTCTGAATGAGGAAGCACAGTGGCCTCCCCAAGCTAGCTAGCCCTGCCAGGGTCAAGGAATAGCAAGAGAAATTAAACACTCTCAAAATAAAAAGCATAAATATGTCTCTCCTCTCCCTTCCTTTTCATCTCCAACTCTTCCTCCTGCCAACAAAAGTGCATCTGATCATACCTCTTGAAAACTTTGCTCAAACTTCCACAGCTGTAAATATTGTTCCATTTTTAACTGATGTTTTTCCCAGAAGCCATCAAAAGCAGTCTCCATCTCACGCAGCTGACCAAGTAACCTTGAGCACAGAGCAAGGACAGGATTAGAACAATTGGCAGAGGGCAAGCAGAGGTGAACAAGCCCCAGAGATCACCTGTTCAGGTCTTCTGGACCCAAGCTCTCAGGAGAAGTCAACGGCAGCATGTATATGTGACTTGTGAAGATCTCAGAGAGAATTTCAATGACATCATTGCTGCAGATGACAGCACCCGTGTGAAGCACTTGTTGCTATCTCCTTTTATCTCACTGATACCTGGAAGCCTGGCACAGGAGAACCATGTATCTGCTCCACAGCCTCATCACATCAGTGAGGGAAAAAAATCAAAGCAGGTCAAGCTGTTTGACAGAAGTCACCCAGTGATTTGATGGGCTTGGAGCAAAACTCCAGAATCTCTGTTTTCACCTGTTTGAAAGGTGACCTAAAGAACACATCTACTCTTCAATAACTTGTGTGTTTTCACTCAAAACCCAGGGAAATTAGTAACAGGGTGCACTCACCTATTCACAGTCTCCCAGTCCCCAGGCCTCTCGTGGTGCTGGTCCTGACTGCATTCCCTAGAGTCAGGCTCTTCAAAACTGCTCAAAAGCAAGTTTCCCTCTTTTGTGACTGCTGTAATATCTTCCTGTATAATGCAAAACATTTCTGATTCAGGCTACAAGGATAAGTCATTTTGGTTTTTTCCTGCCTTAGTTTTCCTGTATGAAATGAAGCCCCAGTATCCACCAGATAAAGGACTCCCAGCAGATATGTAGCCCACTTAACATGGGGTTATCCCCTGGAGCTGGAGGAGGCTGAGCCCTGGACTGGTCACCAGGCTGGGTGGAAACCAGCACACATGAAAACATCAGGCCACAAAGTGATTCAGGAGGCAGGAGGACAGCACTAGTGCAGGTCTCTCATGGTCAGCAGGTGGATTTGTGTTAGATATCTAACTACAAGTTCATGTATTCAAGCAAGTATTTCTGCAGCTTGGAGGCTGTGTTTCTCCATCAAGGTCATCACAGTAGGTTACAGGAAAAGCATTCCATAGGGGGACAAAGCTGGGACTGAGACCATGTGGCACCACTTGCTAGAGTCTCTATGTATAGAAGCAAGTCAGCACTTTCCATGTAACCTCCACTTAGGGAAAATTTATACCCTTGGTGTGTTCATTAGCATCAGCCAAGGTGCTTTGTGCTGTGCTGGGCTCAGCCCCAAAGCAAACAAGTGCATTTAGTCTATAATTTTCGGAAAACAAGAGACGAAACACAGAGATGAGAAGGAAGGAGAAAGTAGATGTGGTTGATGAACAAAGTTGGAAGAAGCCCTGAAGGAGAGACCTGTGTGTGGCTCCTCTGGAGAACAAGCTCCCGGAGGAGTAAGAGCCCATCCTAGAAGACAGCCAGGTTTCTATTGCAAGAGAAACACTTAGGGAGGAGATTCAGAAAGCACAGGTTTGTTAAACATCTGTCTGCCCCAGACAGCTCACAGCAACCAAAACATAACAGTGTGTCCAGCACAGCAGCCCAGGAGCAGGACACAGCCACAGGAGCCCCTCCTCTCCCCCACACAGAGTGTCTGCTTCACCTGTCACTGAAACACCATGGAGGGTGATCCCAAGGCAAAACCAACCCCATCTCCTTCTGATACTCAGGGGACTCAAAAGGGACGAGGATCTACACAGCCTGCCTGGCACTGCAGGTGGCTGTTACTTCATCCTCTCCCATCTCCCTCTCAGAGCCCAGCATTCCCCTCTGCACTCAGAGCCTTTCATTATCCATATGACAAAGCAGCCTGACTGTCAAACAGGTGTTAACTTGGTTTTTTTCCATTTAGTTTATCAAAGAGGTTAATTTCTTAGTTACTCTGTTTAATTAATTTCTGTCATTCTTTCATTGTGTTTGCAACCAGCTTCTGTTCAGTATCTCAGCTACATAAATTATTCTGATGGCCTCATTATCTGAATTGAGGAATCAGCTGTACCCATCTTGGGCTTGTCATGAGAGAGACAAGGATCCCATGTCTTGCTGTCAGCACAATCTGTGCACAGCTTCTCATCTGCTTTCATCTTTCATGGTCTTAGAAGGAACAAAAGAAAAAAGCCAATGGACTTCATTTCAGTCAAAACCCAGAAAGTGGTTTTGATATTTGAAATTAATAGGCAAGGCATTAAAAGCAACAGATGCCTTGTACTGAGTGCTGCTGTGCTTTATATGCAAATGAAAACACGATGTGTTCTCTTTCTCCACAGAGGAAAGTGTGTATGACTGACTGGTTATACACAGGGCTACTTTGTGGAGCTGATATTTGCCCCCTGCACTTTGGCTACAGAATCAAATAGTTGGGTAGGTTGGAAAACACCTTCACCAAGCCCAACCATTAACCCAGCACTGCCAAGTTCACCACTAAACCATGTCCCTCAGCACCTCATCTACACGTCTTTTGAATACCCCCAAGCATGGTGACTCCACCACCTCCCTGGGCAGCCTGGTCCAGTGCTTGACAACCCTTTCTGTGAAGAAGTTTTTCCAAATACACAGCCTAAACCACCATTGGTGCAACTTGAGGCCATTTCCTCTCATCCAGTCACTTGTTACATGGGAGAAGAGACCGACCTCCACCTCTCTACAATCTTTTGGGTAGTTGTAGAGAGCAAGAAGGTCTCCCCTGAGCCTCCTTCTCTCCAGGCTAAACAACCCCAGTTCCCTTGGCTGCTCCTCAGAAGAGCTGGACTCTAGACCCTTCACCAGCTCTGTTGCCCTTCTCTGGACACACTCCAGCACCAAAATGTCCTTCTTGGAGTGAGGGACCCAAACTGAACCCCAGATTTGAGGTGTGACAGCATCAATGCTGAGTCCAGGGGGATAATCCCTGCCCTAGTCCTGTACTTCTAATAGAAGCCAGGATGCTGCTGGCCTTCCTGGCCACCTGGCTCATATCCAGCTGGCTGTCAGCCAACCCCACCAGGTTCCTTTCTGCTGGGCAGTTTTCCAAGCCTGCAGCACTGCCTGGGGCTGTTGTGACCCAGGTCCTAAGCATAAAGTTTAAGCTAGTAAAGTCATATTGCAGTGCATGTATCTGCTATTTTATACTAGAGCTCTCTTCATTTTCAAAGAAGAAATAAAGGACTATTGGCAGTATCTATAGTGATACTTTCTATATATATCCACATGCATTTGTGCCTACACACAGCACACTTTGGATGTCATTTTGCATATTTCTTCCAGACAGCCTTCTGGGAAATCACTGTCACATGAATGACAAATGATTATAAATTAAAATAGATAGGTTTCTTTGACTTATGTAAACGAATCCTGTCATAATGCAAAGCATTCTTCACCCTCACAGAATGGATATTAACACAGCAATCCTTTCTGAAGTGGGAGTTGGCTGTCCTCAGAAAGATGCTGGAGCAGCAAAGAGAACAGTTTGAAATAGCAGCAACTGGTGGCACTAAAGCTTCCACTGACTTCTATAATAAATCACATTATAGTTGAAAAATAATCTTAAAATATTAAAGACACAAATGTTGTTGAAGATGACACGTGAGGGCTCATGTGAAGACAGGGATCACATCATGAATGCTCTGTACCATGAGCTTTCACAAAATCTTCACCTCAGAGGCTCTCCAGCACTGTTCCCTTCAGTCCCCCCAGGGAAGCTGCATCAGGCAGAGGGACCTGGGGACAAACCGTCCCTCCAGATCTGCTGATGACTTTTGCATGCAGCTTCCTCCAGTCATGGAGGTGAAGTGGAGGGAATCCTACTGGGGGCACGAACACACAGGTGACAAAGCCTCCCACCCACCCTCCTGGCTGCGAGACGAGCAAAGCCCCTGAGAGGAGAACACTATAAACACCAACTTCTGCAGCCAGAAAGGAGGTGGCAGCTCTGACAGTCTGCTGGATGCTAGCAGAGTAGTTTGCTGGAGTGGATGGCAAATGTAAAGGTAACGCAGAGAAACACTCACACTGTGCTTTATTTTGTCTGTCAGCACCTACACACACACAGGTGGGAAGGAGGAGTCGGCACCAAACACAGGGGCAAAGCCCAGGAGTCCATCCTGCAGTGGAGGCAGGGGCTGGGGAGCAGGGAGGGGGTGGTGCTGGGCCATACCTTGAGCTGGCAGTACCTCTCGGTGCGCAGGGCCAGGATGCGCTCGATGGAGAACACGTCGTCGGGCAGCTCCGCCTCCGCCAGCTCCGTCCCGAAGCACTGCAGCAGCTGGGCAATCTCCTTCACCGTCAGGGCAAAGCTCTCTATGGCCTGGGGACAGAGACAGAGGGGAACTGCAGCCAGCCTGGGACTCAGAGGCTTCCCACAGCGCATGAGGAGTGGGGCAAGAGCCAAGGCTGAGGTCTGTAGGAAGCCCACCAGCTTGCTCTGAGGGGTGGGTGGGATGTCCACGGCAGACAGAGCTGATGTGTGCTGTGCTGCATTAGCTGGTGGCCACCAACATGTAGCCAGGTGGTTTTTAATGCAGACTGAATCCATAACAGGGCTTAAATAAGGCCAGTATTCAGCATGCTTTGTCTTCTGCTGCCTGTTCTTGTGCACTTTTTTTTTTCCTACCACATACTGCAGACCTATAGTGGAAACTGCTGTAGGATCCATCTTGTAACTTCCTATAATCTAATTCCTTCTAATCTCATTCTCCTCTGGTTAACCCACACTGGGAATCACCTCCACACAGTAGAGCTTTGGAGATACATTTGGCTTCTTGGTGATGGATGTTTCCAGCTTTGCAAGCCCAAATGGCAGGTTACAAGGCAGTCTGGCACCACGGCCACCCATCCACAGTTCACCAAGAGGACAAGGGAGGGAGCCAAGCAGTGTGCTGGAGACAAACTGGAGACAGTGGGACAGAAATGAATGCTGTTGGTACCACCCCAGCACACCCAGAGAGCCAGTGGGAGCTCTGCAAGACAGAGCCCACACCATAGGGCAAGGTGGAGCCCTCCTAGCCCCACTCACATCTCCAGCTCTGCTTTTGAGTGGGGTAATAAACTCAAATGTAACTGAACACATTTACACTTTCTTTAAACAATATCTATTTTCCATGGAAATTTCAGCAAATATTTTATGAGGGAATTTTGAGAGACATAATTCCTACAGACACTTATCTACCATATCCAGCTATAGTCTAGAAATGGTCCTTTACTCAGATTAACATTTTTTGTCATTCATTTTGTTGTCTTTTTTATCTTCAGGTGTGAAAGCTGTGCCACTATCGCTTTAACACATCTTTTTAACAAAAGAGCAAAACTAAGGGCCAAAAATTAAAAAAAATATGGTTAATTTGGCAGCACATCAGTTTAAACTGGCACAAAGTTAATGGCACGAGCAATATGCTTGAGTTATTCCAGCTTTTCTCCTTATACTTAGCTCCACATCTGGTGTGGATCACGCTGCAGGACAAGGGGCACTAGGATGTCTGGGACATTTTTCATTAGTGCTTTGATTTGTTGAGAAGGTAACTGGGAATTCAACCTGCATTAATCCAGGAGACAAAGTCCCAGGGAAACTAAGGGTGCAGAGGAAGCACAGAAACAGGCTAAGGCAAAGCTCAGGGAACTAAATGCCTGATTCCTGGCAAAATTCTTGGGAAAATGAATAAATGAAAGGAAATTCTGTGCACTCGGTCAGTATCCAGAGAGCAGTCTCATCACCTTGGTTCCCAAACACATTCATGACTGCAACCACATGAAACAACTATTTAAAAAGAAAAAAAAAGCCTACTTTGTATCTATCATTAAGGAAGCTTTAATAAAGGAGACAGATCTTTTGGGAATAGCTACAAAAGAAGCCTGAGGGAGTTAATCATCCAATTCCCTTATAAACCCACCACGTGCCTAATGCCACTTGATGCCTTTAAAAATGAAGGAAATGTAGCTGACTTTAGGGGTTACTTTCACCTGCCCATTGCTCAGTGCCCCACAGAAACCCTTCCCCAGCCAGCCCCAAAGACCCAGCAGCCCCGTGCTCAGCCTCATACGTACAGTCCTGAAGATGACCCACTCGCTGTGGCAGTACTCCAGGGTGCCTCCAAACTCTGGGGTGAGTTGCTGCTCATCAATGTATGTCAGCAGGTCGCTCACTGAGCTCAGCATAACAACCTGCAAACAAGGCACTCTTCGGGGGCTGAACATCACTTCTGCCCAAGCCATCACAGATCAAGCCTACAAATCTTTCCTGTACCTAAAAACTGGGTTTGCTCCAAATATTACTCTACAGCATGGCTTCCATATGTTTACGGCTTAACATGCCTCTTATTTGATGTATTTGACCATTTCTGTTTCTGCAAGGCAACCCTGAGCTCTCAGCTGCTTTCCTCCTTAGTTGTACAGTGAGATGCTGCAGTATCTGACTGCAGAGCAGAGCTGAGAGCAGTAGTAATGCAGGTTTTTGCAAGGGATGACCAGTAAGCTGGAAAAAAATGTATACATTTTAGTAAGCTATTACAGAATCATAGAATTGTTCTAGTTGGAAGAGACCTTCAAGATCATTGAGTCCAACCATTAACCCAGCACTGCCAGGTCACCACTAAACCACGTCCCTCAGCACCTCATCTACATGTCTTTTCAATACCTCTAGAGATGGTGGCTCCAGCACCTCCTGGGCAGCCTCTGCCAGTGCTGGACAACCCCTTCTGTGAAGAAATTTTTTCTAATATCTAATCTAAACTTCCCCTGGCACAACTTGAGGCTGCAATTTATGAAGTGTTGGCCAATTTCACATAAATATATACTTAGAGGAGTGTCTGTGTGCCTTCATCTGCCCTGGCATAAGCCACGAGTTTTCAAAACTGTGCAAATGACAGTCATTTTAGAGTGAAAAATGCAAATGTTGTGAAAATCATATTTCCTAAAGGAAAAATTGGTGTGTTTTGTGTGTTTGTAATTGCCTCCACCTCAGGTACCAAAGTGTAATTTTCTTCTCTTAATTATTCTTATTATGTCCTATAATCAAGGTGGCTTTAGAAGTCCTAGAAACTTTGATTTGTGAATATGAAACCATTTCAGTTGCTATTGCAGGAATAAATACCAACAAACATGATGCTGGTGTGGAGTTTACAATGAGGCAAAAATGATGATTACAGGTGGAATTCATAGCAAAAGCTTCACTAGATACATCTTTTGACCTTTCAGACATTAAACCAATTCCTGAGCATGTTTTTATCCTCTGCAGAAGCACACAGCCTATATGGGGGATGAGGACAGGCTGAGAACCATCACCTGCTGCCATAGACATGTTCTGTGTGGAGCAAACTCTGCACAACGGGGCTTGAACACGCCACAGGAGCGATTTGGTGGAGAGAGAATTGGTGGAAGTAGGGCACTTCTGGCAGAGACACGCCGGTTACCCTTCACACAGGTGAGGGGGGACACCTTCCCCCCAACTGGAGCTGTGTGGGCAGCCTCGGGCCGTGCACGGGCAGGACACAACTGCACCCCCGTACCGGTAACTTGAGCAGGAAATCCTCCTGGCTGAAGCGAAAGCCAATGTCCGTGAAGGTGCGCTGGAAAAAGCCCGTGGGACGCAGGACCATCACCAAGTGCAGGTTCCCTGGGAAAGAGGCCTGCAAGGAAACAGAGAGGGCATTCAACCTGCACACATGGCAGCTCCAACGACGGCTTTCAAACGCCTGCAAAGAGGGCAAGTTGTTCAGATCTTTGGTTTGGTTTTCAGATTATTTTCAAAATAGGAGGGAGGAAGCTCAGAGATACGGGATGTAACTGGGGATGGGGCTGTCCAGTCCCACTTGCCCTTGGAGCAAGCAGAAGTTCAGCCACGCACCTCGGAGGACCACTTTTTATACATTTTAAGATCATATATTATGTTCAGCACTAGAACTCGGGGTGTGAAATTCCAGCTTATCAGGGAACAGAGGGCTGAAACATCGAGAGGAACGACAGACAGATTGAAGAAGCAAAATTTATTGCCAAACTCGCTAATCATCCCATAACTGCATCAAGCATACTCTGCTTGGCCCTGGTAATTACCAGGCAACATTTAATTTGTGGGAAGAATTTGGAACTTCCTGTCTACGCTGCTGGAGCCTTTTTTTCAAGCATATGGTTGGCAGGTGCGTTTTTAAATAGATCTGTGAAAAGAGTGCTTGAGAATGAAAAAGAATTTTTAAGAAAGCAGGAGTCATATCGTTAAATTATGAATAAGTGCGTGATGCAAAGACTTGAGTTAATGAAGACAGATGATTTACTCTGAGATCCTGCCAGGCCAGGTTACATTGCTCCATATACTCCTCCTTGGACTATCCTCCTCTGTGAAACAACAGTAGTAGCTATACCAAGGGTGAGAGTAATGAACGTGTTTAGGTATTTAGCACTGCAGGGCACTTAATTTGTGCCTTCAAATCAAAGATCACTCCTGAAAACATGCATTAGTGTTGTTCAAAAAAGCCATGATTTACAGCTGAGGTCCATGAGCTGCACTGTAACTCATGGGCTGTGATTACTTCTGTAGGAAAGGTCAAGTTGTGCCTTCTATTGCCTACAGTTCCACTTAGAAATGGACAGTGACTTTTAGGATCAAATAAGCTACTCAAATTCAGTATATTGACCTGCTGTTATTTTAAGTAGGAGCAGAAAAAAACATGAATGAAATGCCAAATCCATACCCTTTGGAAGTCAACAAGAATGGTGCCAGGGACAAAGAGCTGGCGTTAGAAACAAGAGCAAACCATGAAGTAACAGAGACATTTGTGCTGGCTCCAGGCCCTGGGTGCTCCTGGTTAGCACACGACGTCCCTACAACGGCTGCCAGCCCCAAGTGCACAGGGATGGGCACAGGAGACCCAAGGGACCAACTTCCAACCCCATCAAATCTGCAGATCAAAGGCTAAACCTGGCCATGGCATCACTAAACCTTCTCTGCTCCAAGACAGGTCTTGCCCAAGAAAGTGTGGGTTAGAGGCTGGAGGAGATTTAGGCTCAGCTCCCTGCTTCAATGCCTGTTCAATCAACTCTGCAAGGAAGATCAGCTCTTCTGTGAGACAGCCCCAGGCAGACCCTCCAACAGCACAGCTACTAGATGCAGCCTTGAAGAGAAACCCATCTGGAGACCCTGCTCAGCTCAGGATTTTTTACTTAGCTTCCCATATTACTAGAAAGAAAATCATCCACAGGCTACTGAATATCTCCAAGAAGCTGGACTGGTTCCTCACTTTGAGAAGAATCTCTGCCTGGGATACAGAAAACCTCCACTGAGAAAAGCACCACCAGAACTGGCACAGGCTTGTAGACACTCTGAATGAACTGAAAACTTACAGCATTAATATTTCTCTGGAAAGACTCTGGCAAGCTCAACTCTTACCCTCCAATGAGTCCCAGAGAAGCTGGCTGGCTCCCCACTGGACCCAGTAAATGCTGCTGTTGCTCTTTCCAGGCCTGCTGGCTGACCTGGCTAGTCATTGACACTTCATGCTTCAGCACATCCCATGGCACTAGGACATCCCAGGAAGAGACCTGTCAACCTGCACTCATGGCAACGTTGTGCCCATCCCTGCAGAGCTGTGAGTCCATCATGTGTCACTCCCTCACGCTCACCCTTACGCCCCGGTCAGGGTTTGACTCACCCTGGTCATTTCCAAGTGGGCATTTCTCTGCAGACAGCACACCAACAGCAGCATTCCCCACAAAGTTTCAAAGATATACCATGGAGTCACCATGAACTGCACATCTCAAAGGATAGGATGGTATTGCCCCAAGACAGGCCCTGCACCCCTGGCATTAATGGCTCAAACTGATTTGAACCAAAGCCTTGTGAGGCCCATGGTCTTAAAATGCTTTGAAGGACCTCGGAGGGTGCAATTTTAAGTCCTTCTGTGGGGTTATGAGTCCATTGTACGTGAATCCGATGGTGAAGTCCACAGAGTTTGGGGTCAGTCACTGTTTCTGACTCAGAAACACAACAGTGTGTTCAGGTTTCCTACCTTGAGCCTCTCCTAAAAAATGCATTAGGAATATCTTTGAGAAGAACAGCCCAAGAGATGCATCCTCCCCTGGTCTTATTATCCCTCTCCAACTTCTGTCCTTTTTCACCCTGTTGGGCATTTGGAGCAGAGGTGAGTCTATTTTGTCTTCTACTCCTCCAAGTCCTTTTTAACATTCACCCTTTGTACACAGAGCAGACTCCCTGGAGGGAGGGCCTGGGTCTCCAAACCATATCACTCCATGGGAACTTGGGAGGCTTTGAATGTCTTCTGCTATGAGCCCTGGGGCAGGAAGCTCCAGGAAGATGGACCAGTGATCAGGAGACAAGCAGAGCCGCCTGCCAAAAGTACAATGCAATAGTGACAAGGTGTGAAACGCCCCCCTCAGAGCAAAGGTGCCTTTGGACACTTCTGGTTTCATGAATGCAGGATGCCACCATGTTCCACACAACATACAAGATGACCCCATAACCTGGCACTCATGTCCTTCTGCCACATCCATCACAGGGGGCAACTCTTCTTTGATACAACTGTGTGCCCCATACACGCACAACTTTTTGCTCCTCACTATGTTTCACCACAGAGGTATCTGAGTTTCCAGGACAGGTGCTTTGATTTCCATTCAGTTTACAAAGTGTTTGGGGATTTTTCAGGGGATCTTAAACTTATAGGACCAAAGGCAGCACTTAGGAGTAGCTACAAAACAAGAAATACAGCTTTGCAAATGATACCAAATGTATTCCAAGCATGGAAAAAAAAAACCAAACAAGCCAAAAAATAAGCTCTCAGAAAGACAGCCACCAATCTAAACACATCCTGTGCCCTCTTACAGACTGAAGAGAAAGAATGGAGGATGTTAAAATACATATATATATAGACAGACCAGTAATTCCTCAGAGGTAACGTTCCTGGAGGAAATATAGCTTTTTAAATCACTCTACAATTCCAGCTCTTCCAAGGGCTGAAGTGCAGATAAGTTACCTGCAAACTGAACTCTAATGGTACTGAAGGTACTGCTGCAAAAAAAAAAAACAAAAAAACCAAAACCAACAAAAAACCAACCCAAAACCTTCCCCCACAATATATTCAAGAAAGCGAAGACAAAAGGGTCTTTAATCTTGCCTTATGTTTTCTCTTATTATTTTTATCACTATAAAGAATCTTGTGCAAATGGCAAACATGGGATTATGTAACAAAGCACCTAAAAGAACCCTCCAAAGCCTTTGCCCTCTGATGCTACTCTGCAGCCGGTCAGGAGAGGCAGAAAACTGTCAGTGCAATTCCACTAAATCAGGCAGTTGGCAACATTTCACTTACTATTAACTACCTCCCTGGCCAAAGACCATGCTCAGAACATTCTCCCCCTTCCAAGGACACAAACGTCTACACCTTAAGGCCCCAGTTCAGCAACGTGTTTAAATGCACACTCAACTCTAACCACATAGAGAGCCCTGATAAGATCAATATAGAGGAACCAGGCTAATAAAGCACAAGACAGGGCATGCACTGAAAGCATCACAGCTATTACCTCCTCAGGGACTACCTCCTGCATCCTCCTGATGCATTTAATGTGATTTTTTCCTAATTTTAGGAATTCTATTTTCAGAGAATATTCTTCCCTGCAGTTCACGGGGCCATTCACGAGGCTGGCAATCAATACACGTAAAGTGGCAAGTTTGTCTCTGAGCAATGGAGGCTGAGGCCAGCGGTCCTTACAGGGGTGCCGAAGCGAACGACTTTCTGCCGTCCCCTGAAGGCAAAGTCAGGCCACACGAT